TAGAGCTTGTCACCACGCAAGATAAAAAGACCAGTGTGGTTCACAAATAATATCAGAGTCAAATTTGTGACCCAACAGATTGGGGTTTGTTGTGCCTGGTCTTCTGTCATATTGGCATCTGTGAATCTGTATGTGTCCCTGTCAGTCCATAGGAGCAGAACAGATTGCACAATATCGGATATAAGAGATCTTTAGTTTGGTTTTGGCAGCTATAGGGCTTGATTTTGTCACCTGGCCAAGTTATTCCACATTTTTTGAATATTCACCATGCTATCACCATGTAATCTTTGGTGCCTATCAGTCTAATGAGGAGAGCAAGTGAGCAAATCCAAGTTGCACAGGGCTGACTTCTGGGCCATCCATAACATCTGGTGATGTGGCAAGTGTTTGTACCATAGGAGTGTCAGGACCATTTATGACCTTCGTGAGAGGCTTATGTGCCATCTGTGGCATCAAGTCACAGGGTTTGATTGTGCTACTGCCTTGGGAAGTTACCTGTGAAAGATCCTGCATCATCTCTGCTTTCAGTACAAAGGGAAAAATCCCCTTCTAATATCTTTACCTAAACAAACGACATTCCTCAACCTTCTACGCAGGTGTCCAACTTACCAAAAAGAGAGGTAGTGTGACGTTGTTTTCTTTTCATGGAAGCCATACCTTGTCATGCGTCCATGCTCCGGACTTGACCCACCAGGCACTTGCATCAGCAGGAATGAAAATAAGTTCAGATAATTTTGTATAATCTAGATGCTGATATACCAGCAATCAGATGGCTTAGTTCACGTGGCCAGGGTTTGGAAAACTCATGCAAAGCGATGTTAGTTCTGTGCCTAAGCTGTTAAGAAAACAGTAAAGGTTAATAACAATAAGACACAGTTTGAAAGAAAGTTCATAGTGGAGGATCAGAGGGAGAACTGAATAGACTGAGATAGTCTCCAGTCAGCTTTTTCAATAAGTGCTCAAAGAACAAAGAGGACTTTGTGAAGAAAAGAAAAGGGTTTGGGGTTTTTTTTGTTTGTTTGGGTTTGTTTGTTTTTGTTTTTTTGTTTGTTTCTTTTTTGAAGGTAGAGAGAACCAGTTCCTGTTATACTAACAATGTACACCCTGTCTTGGATCCCAACACCACAGAGAAGTCCCATGAGGACTGGGGAAACTACCATGCTCATTCACACAACATCTCTCATTGGTCCAGAGTTGCTTTCAGATCATTTAACTCCTTCTTGTTTCCAGCTTCCTCCATGAGTGCACTGAGCACACCCCCGTAAAGCAGAAAGCCATTAGTGTGTATAGGACTTGTCATCCGTGCTACAGACAACCTCAAGGTTCAGCCTAAGAGGATACAGGCAGGTACCACCAGCATCTGCTGTACCAGACTTTCCAGCCCCAAATACGTTTACTTTTACTCTCATTTCCCTAAGATTGTATTTTCCAAGTAAACCATTTAGATTTAATCCTTGCCTCAGCATAGGTTTTCTAAGGAACCTGGGTACAGTAGATGCTAAAAGCCCACCCTACATCTTCTCGTCCCACTTGAGTTCACTTGCAGCCACAGTAGACAATCTCCATGCTCTGAGAGTTTACCACTTCACGTGCTTATATCTCAGATATTCTTTTCCTTACAGCTTTCTCCTGAACCATGGAGTATTAATCAAAGGTGTGTTTCACATGACTTCTCAGAAAGCACACAGGGATGGCTCCAGTTGTACACAGAGAAAACCTACTCATTAGTCTACCCTGTTTTGTGCTTCCCCAGAAAACTAACTCCACTTAAATCCTGTCTCTGGGTCTGCTTTTTGGGCAATCCCAATTAAAACAGGAGGTAAGACTCTATGCTTGTTATAAACAGGTGAATTCTACCCACCAATCCTGGTATAATTGACTGATATAGCTCTAATTAACTCAGTGAATATAAAATAACTATGCAGCTTTTCTTAAAATAAGAATATTGCAAAGTGCACTGCTTCTTGTAAAAATTTACAAGTAAAATAAGGTGACTCTAACAAATTAACTTTAAAATACAATACAGGATCCCAATTTACCAGCAAAGCAGTGATAAAGGATTTATTCTATGAAGTGTATCAGGACAACAGGCTACCCATTTGGAAAAGTATACGATTAGATACCTATCTCATTCCTTATAGCAAAATAAATTCCACAATTAAGCATAAAAGATGAAACCAACATAATCCCAGAAACAATGGATTATTTCAAAGTAATCTCAAGCAGAAATACAAAACTCAGCAAATATAAAAGAACATTAGGCTGACAAATTTTACTTTAATCAACCTCAATGGTTTTTTACCATAAAGCCTTTCAACAAAGAATCAAGAAACTGGAGCAATCTTTTGTCTCCATATGGATGTGTACACTTACAACACGTGGAACTTTCTCTGATTTGACCAGATTGCATTCTTGGTTCACTCCTCCCTCCTTGTGTGGCTCCAGTAGCTGTCCTCTGCTTCTTTTTGCTAACACATTGTTGGACCCTCTCCATCTCTATTCCTAGAGGGCATCAAACCATAAAGGGGTGACCACAAAGTGACAGGGCACACAAGTGGAACACTTACCATTTCATAAGGAATGCTTCAATGAAGATATAACATTTAACCTCTATTGAGAGAAAATAGGAGTTTTCCAGGGCAAGGGAGTAGGGGCAGGGTGGTAAACAGCATTTTG